ATCAACAAACTCATTCTTATGTTATGTGCAAACCATGATCAGAATGGCTTTTCACAAGTCACTTTGTTCTAACAGCCAATCGTCTTCTGGTTGGCACATGAATAACAAAGGCTTACGTCACATTGAGTATCCCTAGATTGCCACACTTATTGTGCCAATCCCAAAAATCTATAAAAAATAACTTATAAATTAAAAAAGAGTAAGATTAACAAACAGTTCTTTTTCTATATTTGAATCGAATCAAAAGCAAATCTTAGAGTAGCCTCTTTACAAGGCCCTTGGAATTGAGAGTAATTTCATGACATGAATGATTGGTTACCTGTTCATATTCATCAGTGATAGCCTTGGGCTCTTCGTGTCTTTGAAACCACATCATATACTTTGTATGGAATCTCCAAGATTGCTTTTTAAGCGCTTTTGCTGCCAAGTATTGTGCCCGGGTTCCCTGTGTATAGACGAAATACGAGGCTTACATTTAGGTATTGAAGGGAAAATCCATTCATAATATGTTGAGTGGTAAAGCGTCAGTAAGCACATATATTCTTTCTAAAAACGTTTGAAAACTGTTTAGCGCAAAAACTATTTCAAATGTGAAGCTCAAGGTTTCGAGGGAAGCTATCTGCGCGTGTTTCTTRGATGTAATAATAAACAATAATAAGAAACAATATGCGTGTTTGAATACTTTGAAGATGTACTCAGGATTCACGATAAAACGTTATGAAAAGTTAGCTCTGACAAAACTCCAGTTTCGAATTCTCATTCGTGCAAGGTTAGCTTCAATTAAGCATAAATTTTCATCGCCTTCTCTGTACAGAGTGTTTGCATTTCAAAGTAAAATGACAATAACTTTCGAACCAATACAGCTACAGCCCTGAAACTTTCGGACTTTTCCAAAAATCTATCTCGGCAGATTTTGATGTACATTTTATGGTGATATCGTCATCCATGTTGCCATGGCAACCACWTTTTGACGTCATTGTTACGTCATAAAGAACGGGAATCACAGATTGCAAAAAAAGCCCAGTCTGAATAGGGTCTGAATAGGGTTAAGGCCGCTCAAATAAGAACTTGAAACTGGAATATTGTATTTATTCAAGATCTCATCTGAGTATAAGAAACTTTTTTCCATGTTTGTTATGTGCGTCGAACATACCTCTTGGTAATAGAAAATAAAGAACAACGTTTCTGGCTGTAGCCTTTGGTAGAARTCTATGCTTTCCAGGTGAGCTGGCGGATGCTGGTGATAGTATGGTGGTGCTGGGTAAGGATTCCTGGACAAACATGGCCTACCAGATAAAACAACAGTATTAGGTTAAACACGATATAAAAATGGAAGAAACTACTTATAGTGCTTAGAAGGAGGCAATTCCGGGAGAAAGTCCCTTAGGAATAAATTCGGAAAAATTAATTTCCGTCCACRTAAAGACAATTTTCAGGGCCGCGTTGCTCAAAGCTCAATAAYGATAATCCTGTTTCAACTCTTAAAAAAAACTAGAGTTAACACTAGACCAATGTAATCGGTCTTCGGACAACCTTAAGAATAAAGATTACATACCGGACTCTTTCAGAATCTGCTGGTTGTGGTAAATGATGGTGAGCAGCCTCTAACATCGCTAACTGATAACACCTCTCCTTGTTTAAGGGTACAGGTCCTAATGGTGCCACGCCCAGCAACGGTTGYAAGTGTGCTGTATTCGTCTCTATAGGTACCTTGGTCTCCTCTAGAGTTCGACTTGTTGATGTTGAATCAAATAGCCCTGAAATATTCAAGACAAGGCTAAGTCTGTATAGTTTGTTAAGAATACTCACATGCCCCAAGTTCAATAGACTTCTGAGCCTTTTTGCTTCACTACTTGATTTTCAATCAAGTTTCTAGAGAAAACAAAAGAAATCCTCCATGTTTTGTCCCAAACATATCCTACCATGCATTGCACATACGGTACATGACGTAAAAGCTTCAGAGGTCTATTAAAATGAGATGTCAAGAAGAAAAGGTGCAATTGCATTGAAATTGGGATCTGTAAGATTCAGGCTTTGGACTTGGGCCTTTTATTTTCATAACCAAAAGAGTTATTTTGCCGTGAATGGCTTAAATGTTGTCACTTTCCATTTCAAACTACTATGGGATTGTCTCCTTTCTCAAAACATTTATGGTTAACACCAAAGTTTGCCATCTATTTACTGACAGTTTTAGAAAAGTTTGTGTAGTTTTTTGCCTTTACTTTAAGAATATCATAGAGTGAAGATAAGTCTGTGAGCCAAAATTGAAACGAATGCTTTCTTTTTCCAGTGAAGAAGACAAGCAGTCAATAGTGACATTTAGTAAAAACGCCCGCAACAAAAAACAATCTATGTCCTTCACTCCTTGCTGTATTTTAATACATACACTGTAGCTTAATTATGTAGCCACAATTTTACTGAACATGACCTGAACACTATCTCACAGGACTGCAAAGAAAGCAATACACCAGCAATCCACACTGGAAAAAATCGCGCGCTTTAAAGGTTGTAAATTTAATGTAAATATCATGTATTCCATTAAATTTACAGAATTTTGGACACTTACATCATATTTACATCAAATTTACAACCTTTAAAGCGCGCGATTTTTTCCAGTGACACTCCAATGTAGCTTTTATACTTGGCAAAATTGAGTCCAAAAATTTAGTTCAATCATGATTGTTAGTAGGGTCAATGAATGGTTGGGCTGCCTGTGATTTTACAACTACATAATAACACATTATATTCAAATATCGTCTTGGAGTTAATAGCTGTAACTCTCTCATTTTAGTAACATGTTTTATTTAATCTATTACGCACTTGTAAGAAACTTTGAAGTCTTTTCTTCAGTGTTGAATCTGTTTTCAAGCTCTACCGAGTAAAACACACGCACTTTAAATACTGGTGCCTTCCCTTAATGACGTCACACTGGGTATCTTCCCTTAATGACGTCACTTTGTAATGGCGCAGTGCATCATGGTATTGATAAAAGTATCAAAATGGCGGATTTATCAACAAACGCTTAAAATCCGCAGTTGAGAATTGTTTAAAGGAGCATTATGTAAAATTTCTGGTCACTAGAATGTGGTGAAGGCCATGTAATTTAAGCAGCCTTACTGCTTCTAAACAACTTTGAACACTATAACGTCACTCCATTACTTTCGTCAATCCCATGGTGCATTTCGTCAGCGTCATTAAGTAAAGAACCATTTTGTAAATGGAGAAATTCGTGAGCTTTTAGTGTCAGTTAAACTTTTAAAGATTTGGAATGGAAATCAGTTATGATCATTAACGATGATGAGCACAATCATGATGTTAAGTTTGCAGTGAGAATCCAGATGATTTTGTTAAAGATTTTCAGTTGTATTATGGAATGTAAATTGTTAACCTAAGAGGGTAAAATGTCTTTGTGAAAGAAAGTTTATGTTTTATGGACCATTTAATTTAGTTACTGAATCACGAGGACACAAGATTTAAGTTTTGTACTTTCAACCATGTTGTTTGCACAATGCTCAGAGAATAAACACCGCTGTACCGAGATAAACCCATTTAGCGATCTCGCTTACACTGTGTTAACCTCAAAACCATGTATTCAGTAACAGTATAGAGCACATTGAAATTAGTTGGAAATCTCATAAGTTTTCGATGAATTTGTGCAAAATTTACACATCAACGAGGCTAACACCGTGTAAAAGACATCGCGGAACTCAACTATAGGCAACTTCAAATTATCAATCATTAAAATGAACCAATCACATACCTCTACTTTCCGCTGAATATTCATTAGGGAGTTGTACTTGACTATGTAGATTAGCAGTAGCGACAGCTTGTGCTGCGATGGACTTAAGAGATGAAAACGAATCGGTTGTGACATGTCTCGATACAGGACTACCCATAAACTGTGCACTACTCATCAAAGACCCAACAGACCCCGTTGACACTGCAATACTTTCTACCGATGACATAGGGGGTTTACTAAGCACTGTGTTAGATGAACTGGTTAACAGTGATGACGTCATACTCCCAGACATTCCCATCATGCCTATGGAACTGCTAGAATTAGGTAATGAGCTGGATGGTAGAGACGATGGTGCCGTTAGAGGTGTCGATACGGGTGGTGGGGGGCCTACTACTGATGATGATGGCTTGCCGAGTGCTGGGTTTCGTCCAGGGAAAGTGTTTGAAGTTGCATTTATCGTTGGGGCCGGTGACATTGAAAGAGACGTTACTGCAGATACGAGTTTGGAAATATCGCTAGCGTGGTTTACATCTGAAAGAAAAGGACCTGCATTTCATTAAGAATGTCAACAATGACAACTGAAATTGAGTATTTTAGGGATGTGAGGAAAGCGCTTTCAAAAATTATAGTAGACATGCCCAGTGACCTGAAGCACACTTCTGTTTGCCACGTAACACCTTATTTTCATGAAGCCTCCAGTAGAACAAATTTGTTTGCCCAAGAACACCTTATGTACATCAACCATTCTGAAGCACACTTAATAGTCAACTTTAGATATTTTGGTTCGATGACTATGTACAAAAGAACGCACACGAGGCTCCRGGRAAACAATGGAKAATCTTGATTTATTCTTTTATTTCCCCGGAGCCTCKTCTGCAATTCTTTTGTGCATGGTCACTGAAACAAAATATCTAAAGTCGACTATTTTGCACAAAAACACCTTATTTTCAAGAATCCTCCTGAGGAGCATGCACATCTCAGCAAGCATGGCATATTTGGAAACAGCATTATTCTATAGCAAAGCTAGTCAGGTTCTACTAAAAGATCTCAAATATGAGAAGAGGCAATTCCCAGGTATTTTTTAGCAACCTATTAACTATCAGGTTGGACTTTGTTCATATTTTAATATCCCATAATACTTACCATTGCTATGCGGCAATATGTGGTCATGACTATTAACTACAGATGAAGTGGGTCTTGCTATACTTGACGTTGACGACGTGGTGGTAGCTGGGGTGTGGTTAACCATTCTAGGGGGTTGGGCATCCACATGGTTTTGTTGCCCACCAGCGACAACGGCATAGCCTGAAACTGGCGGAGGGGGCGTGACCTCCGTCGGAGTCTTGGAACTACTTAGAACTTCTTCCCCATTACTGGACGAGTGGTTTTCAAAGGAATTTGTTATAATAGAGCTGCAATACAACAAAGAGTTTTAATACATTTATGTTCTGTTGTATACTAAAAATATTTTACAGCTATTTCACAGCTAGAGTGCTTTTAGTAAAACTATGAAACATTTGTAATTTAACAAATTTCTGACTTTCTCGTGGTATGTACTTTTATTTACCACGATTGGGGACACTTCACCTTCAAAATTGTTAGAAAATAAAAGAACAATCTTGGTATGTATTTTTATTTACAAATGGAACCACAAGCATATCTGATAAAAAATGTTATTATCCTTTTTATAGTGCATTCAACAAAATAATACATTCTGATTGGTCGATAGGAGTACAATTACAGTGTTAATTGTACTCCTTAATTAAGTTGAATGTACTATAAACAAAAMATCGCACAACCTCTCGTACAATTTGGAATTAATAGTCACTCGGGCTCGTGCAATTACGAGAACTTTCAAAACATTACTCATGACTATTAATTCCAAATTGTACTCAAGTTCATGTGATTTCCTATACAAACTGATTTTAATAATTGAGCCAGAATAAAAAGAGATGCTTTATTCAAGAAGATATCTACCTGGTTGTCTTAGAAGACCCATTACCTATGGAGAAAATGACAATTTATGGTTACTAATATAATTATGGGAACCTGATAATAATATCATAATTATGTACTCCAACAAATCACTTTGAATTAGAAATCATTAGAAACGTGAATTGATTCATAACCATGAGATTACTCATGTTATGGACTCCTTACACGCAAATAGCAAACACCTGGATTCCATTAAAACTGTCCCCTTTGTTTAGAAACCTAACGGCAGTAACCCAAATCATGTTTGAATGACAACAGGCAACAGTTGAAAGGCAGACAAAAGTAAAAAACACGCCAGTTTTCTTATTTGTGCACCCTTAGCCTTAAATCATGTAATATTTTCTTTTATTAAGCAGAGATCCTATTGTAATGCAAACTCTCTGTGTACAAAGAAAACAACAAAAATTTATTCTTGATTGAAGCTTAGCTTGCACAAAAGAGAATTCAAAAATGGAGTATAGACCTAATTGGCTAAAGCATTGACATAAACGTTTACACCAAGACACGGGAGTAAGTTTCATTGCTTGTTGTATTTTCATTTCGCAGTTGAATATTCTTAGAAACAAAAGTTCTTTTTCCAAAAGGATTTGAATTGGGTGGTATTTGACGTACATGGTAAAGCATTAGTCTATTAGGTCTATTTTGTGACTCACTTGGTTTGGTTTCAACAGCAGTAATAACAGGAGTTGTAGAAGGTTGTCCAGGATTAGATAAACTAGGTTTTAACGGTGGTCGAGGTGGTGTAGTCCCTGGTAAGATGCTATTTACTAAACTAGATGTACCCTTGGAGTTCTTACGTGGTGAGTTCTGATTAAAAAWATTTAAAAACAAAAAAATAATAAACACAATGTTCAGTTGTTTCACATTTCAATACACAACTTTCAAAAATGGTGCCAGTTCAAGTTCACCTACATCGGGGACTAGTGATGAATCATTGAAACGAGACCTCAAAGGACTTCCATCTAGAAATCACTGTGAAGATCACATGTATGTACAGTAGTGTCCAAAA